TACTCGGTCTGTCCTCAGGCCTGCAAAGGCCCTGTCTCCAGTGACATGACATTCAGAAGTTCCGAGTGGACATGAGTTTGGGGGAACCCTGTTTAACACAAGACAGCAATTGCCTTTGCAAAGCAGGGCACCGGGGCCCTGCAAATGACCTCATATTTCAGATCCAGTTTTCACCCCAAGGTAGGTCCTACTGGAAAGACACCTGGAATTTACTTCAGGGACCAGGCTTAACCCACTCCCCACCTTACCGTCTATTTTTATTGATTTTAGAGAGGAAGAGAGAAGGAAAGAGAGATAGAAATCTCAAAGATAAGAGAATCATTGATTGGCTGCCTCTGCACAGCCCACACTGGGCATCATACGCCCCACACTGGAGACTGAGCTGGCAATCTAGGCATGTGCCCTGACCAGGAATCAAACCGTGACCTGGTTCATAGGTCAACGCTCAACCACTGAGCTGTGCTGGCCAGGCTAGGAGGGTATAGTTTTAAAGAAACTGTTCTCACAAGGCCATTGCTGGTTTTTATCCAATTATAGTTTCTTCAGCCCTCTTGTAAAAGAGGAAATGTGGCAAAAGAGACAGGTGTTCTCCCTCATGGGCCCACTCAGAGCCCACCTGAGCGAGGTCAGGCGGGGCCTCGGGGGCCAGGGGCCTGCCTGAAGCGTGGATGCTGCTCTCCTCTGGCCCAGTGCAGCTCCATAAAACCCGGCCAGCCTGGCCAGAGAGTGGGGGCTTCTCGAGAGAAGTGAGACATCCAGATTTTAAAATATGTCCTGCTTTTTCACTGTTGGCAACTTCTTTTCTTTTCTTTTTTGGTTAATACTCACTTGAGGATTTTCCCCCTATTTATTTATTTAAGAAATATTTTATTGATTTTTTACAGAGAGGAAGGGAGAGAGATAGAGAGTTAGAAACATCGATGAGAGAGAAACATCGATCAGCTGCCTCCTGCACACTCCCTACTGGGGATGTGCCCGCAACCAAGGTACATGCCCTTGACCAGAATCAACCCTGGGACCCTTCAGTCCACAGGCCGACACTCTATGCACTGAGCCAAACCGGTTAGGGCCCCTCTATTTTATTTTTAAGGAGAGTGGAAAGGAGGGAGGGAGAGGGAGAGAGAAACATTTATGTGAGAGAGACATATCGATTGGTTGCCTCCCGCACACACTCCAACTGAGGCTGGGATTGAACCTGCAACCCAGGTACCTGTCCTTGACCAGCAATCGAACCCATGGCCCTTTGGTACGTGGGCCAATGCTCCAACCACCGATCCACACCAGCCAGGGCTGTTGGCAAAATCTTTAAAACAAACAAAAGTAAAACACTGATGGCCGAGGAAGAGAAGTTTGTGTTCTGAATGTCAAGGGCAAGTAACTAACATTCACCTCATTTCATGGGCCCATCAGTTCTGTGGGCTAAGGGGTCATCTCCCCTTTGCTGATAGGGAAACTGAGGCTCTGAAGGGGAACATAGCTGGTTAACTTAAGCCAACCCAATGATTAAGCACTAGGGATGCGGTTTGAACCCCATTCACCCCACCAGAGCCCATGCCCAGCCCCACTTTAGGTCCTCCCAAAATGGCCAGAATTCCGAGGTGGCCCCAAGAATCTTGCCCCCGTGTACACACCCTGTGTAACCCCCTTGAGTGTGTGTAGGACCTTATTTGGTAAAAAGTGGAGAGGGCTTTTTCAGATGAAATTAATGTTCCCAAATCAGTTGACTCTGAGTTGACCCCAAAGGAGATTATGGCGGGTGGCTGACCTAATCAGGCAAGCCTTTTGTAACGGCCTGGGGAGCAGCAAACAGCCCTGAGCGAACTGCTCACGGAGCGTGCCATGTGGCGAGGACCTGGGCGGGCAGCAAGAAAACCGGGAGCCACAGGGCCCTTGGACCAGGAGGGGTCAACCTTGGGGCTATTTATTCCCTGCTTTCTCTCCACAAACATTTCTCATCCACCTACACTGGCAAAGCATAGGGACTCCACCAGGGACCTCCAGGTCTGTCCCCCTATCTAGCTCTGCCCTGTCCTCCACAGTCTGTCCTCCCAAAGTCACCAGAGGGCGCCTGTGAGCACCCACTCTGTTCTGCCCACGGCCTTCATGGCTCCCACAGCCCTGGGGTGAAAGCCCAAGTCCTGCCCTATCCATCATCTCCTCCCCGTCACCTCCTCCCTCTATCCCCCTCACTCATTCCACTCCAACCACACAGTTCTCCCTGCTGTTCCCCGAACGTGCCGGTCATGGCCCAGCATGAGCTGTGCCTTTGCATGTGCTTTTGCATGGCCTTTGCATGTGCTGTGCCCACTTCCTAGTTATGTTCCTCTGGCTCATTCTTCCACCCAATTCTGGCCTTTGCTCCAAGGTCATGTCTTCCGAGAGGCCTTGCCCGACCGCCCTGATCCAGGAAGCCACCTCATCACTCCCTGCTTACGGTTCTGTTCCTGCTTACGGTTTTCATTACCTTGTTTTATGTCACCAGCCATTACATCACACATCTAAGTGTCATTGTTTAATCCCTGTGAGCTCTGCGGCGTGGACACCACGCCGCTTGGTCCCGGCTGGGTCGCAGTGATTTGAACAGCGCCAGCCACTTAGTAACTGATGAGAAACTGCGATATTTATTGAGCACCTATGGTTTGCTAGGCGATGGTCTGGGCACTGGGTACATGACAGGGACGAGACAGACACTCCCTTCCCCCTCCGATCAGGTGGCCAGCCTGGTGGGACAATAGATATGAACCAAATGATCACACAACGGTTAATCAGAGCCAACACTGATTCGGCGTTTGTTGTCTGTTTACCAGGTAGTAGTACTCTGTTAGTCAGTTAGTCCCCACCACTGCCCTGTGAAGGTGATTCTATACCATTGATACCCTGTAGTACTAATGAGGAAACTGAGGCACAGGGAGGGTAAGGGTCTCCCCAGGCCCCACGGTCTGACAGATTATTCCAGGAATAGTCCTCGTGCCCGGCCTCCCATGCTCCTATGTAACCCTCTTGTCCTGACTCAAGCCTGACACATGTCCTGGTCATGTGCCGCACGCGGCTGGAGGGACAGCAGCACGTGTGACACATGCATTTGAAGTGCTCATGTGTCAGGACCTGCCTGCCTGCTGCTCCTGGGTGCCCACAGGTCCCTCAGGGGGAGGAGCCGGCCAGTCTGGCAGTCGCCCGTCAAGGGCAGCCAGATTTAGTAACTACACATACAGGATGGCCAGTTACATTTGAACTTCAGAGGAACAATGAGTGATTTTTTCAAGCATCCCTATGTCTCAAATATTACATGGGACATGCTTATACTAAAAAACTCATTTGTGCCCTAGCTGGTTTGGCTCAGTGGATAGAGCGTTGGCCTGTGGACTGAAGGGTCCCGGGTTCGATTCCAGCCAAGGGCACATGCCCGGGTTGTGGGCTCGAACCCCAGTGGGGAGCGTGCAGGAGGCAGCCAATCAATGATTCTCTCACATCATTGATGTTTCTATCTTTCTCTCCTTCTCCCTTCCTCTCTTAAATCAATTTAAAAATTATATATATATTAAATATATATATATAATATATTTATGTCATGTGTTGCCCAGCCAGCATAGCTTAGTGTCTGAATGTCAACCCATGAACCAGGAGGTCATGATTCAATTCACCGTCAGGGCACATGCTCAGGTTGCCGGCTCAATCTCCAGTGTGGGAGTGTGATCCCCAGTGTGGGGTGTGAAGAAGGCCGCCAATCAATGATTCTCTCTCATCATTGATGTTTTTATCTCTCTCTCCCTCTCCTTTCCTCTCCGAAATCAATAAAAATATGTATTTTTAAAAATCTGCTATTATAGCCCTTGCTGATTTGGCTCAGTGGATAGAGCGTTGGCCTTCGGACTGAAGGGTCCCAGGTTCAATTCCGGCCAAGGGCACATGCCCGGGTTGTGGACTCGAACCCCAGTGGGGAGCGTGCAGGAGGCAGCCGATCAATGATTCTCTCGCATCATTGATGTTTCTATCTTTCTCTCTCCCTCTCCCTTCCTCTTTGAAATCAATAAAAAAAAATCTGCTATTATAAAAAAAATCATTTGTTGTTGGCCTAAAATTTACATTTAACTGGTGTCCTGGGTTTTATCTCACAACCCTGCCCCCTCATCGGATGGCAGCCCTGAGTCCACATGCATGAGAGGGTTCCCTCAAGGCATGGCCTCCTGAATACCCCACGACCCTGCAGGAGTCAGTTAAAAAAGAATGATGCTCAGAGGGAAAGGGAGGGGTGCTGCAAAGAGTGCTGAGAAGCAGGCCTGGGAGGGAGGCAGGCAGGTTCTGGCGTTTTAGTCAGAAGCCCGGTTTGTATTTCAGCCTTTCTAACGGCCTGGGAGAAAACGCTCCTCCCTTCTCGGATCATAATACAGCGAGCTGGGGACGCCAGGGAAAAGCATCGGCAGCTCCCAGGAATGAGCGCGCGGCAGCCGGGCCGCAGATACAAGATCTGAGAAGTGCCGCCCACTGGGCCGCCCGGTTTCGTTTCACCCTGAGAGTCCCTCCACTTTGCAGACAGACCCGCCCTCCCGTGGGAATTCCACTAAGAATTTATTTAAACCTTTCACCAAATACCTCCTGGGCAGCCAGTCGGGCAGGTGGATAGAATCCTCTCCCTGCTTTCCAAGGGGACTGCCTCATTAAAGGAATTAAAATGAAAAATACATTTGAAAAACAAGACAATTCCAGGGGTCGAACTTCTGGCCTCCTCAGGACATGCCAGTCGGGACAAGTCAAGAGGACATTGCATTTTTAGGGCACTTCAAGTCTGTGGGGTTTTTTTAAATCCTCACGTGAGGACATTCTCCCATGGCTTTTAGAGAGAGTGGGAGGGAAGTGTGTGTGTGTGTGTGTGTGTGTGTGTGTGTCTAGAGAGAGACAGAGAGAGACAGAGAGAGAGAGAAACATCGATGCCAGAGAAGCACATCTATTGGTTGCCTCCTGCATGAGCCCCTACCGGGCCAGGGATCAAACCTGCAACCAACGTACATGCCCTTGACTGGGAATCGAACCTGTGATCCTTTGGTGTGCAGGCTGACACTCTAACCACCAAGCAAACCGGCCAGGGCCACTTCTAATTCTTTAAACCCTCCCTGATGGTTCCCAACAGCCTTCTTATGCCTTCAAGAGAGCCAATCCTCCCCCACCGTTTATAGTGTTAAGATACACATAACAAAATTTACTGTCTTAACCATTTCTAAGTGTACGGTCCGTGGCATTAAGCACATTCACACTGCCGGGCAGCCAACCCCACCATCCGTCTCCAGAACTTTCTCATCTTCCCAAACTGACACTTTGACCCCATTAAACACTGACCCCTCCTCCCCAGCCCATCACCCGCCATCGACTTTCCGGCCCTGTGAATCTGACTCCTCTAGGCGCCCCTGTGAGTGGGATCACACAGCTCTTGCCTTGATCAGCACAGACCGATTTCAGAGCAATGCCTGGCTCAGGGGGATGGGATGGCATCGAAGTCTGGGCCTGGCGTTACTGAGGATGGTCACCCCACAAGCACTGATGGGGCACCTACTGTGTGCCACGTGTTGGGGACGCTGTGTGACCCCGACAGCCCCGTGCGGTGGGGTGAAGGCCAGAGGTTCCGGTGGGAGCAGTGAGTGTCACCAAGAGAAATGAACCAGAGGGAGGAGGGTTTATTTCATGGTGGATGTGGACCAGCAGTTTTGGGGGGGAACAGAAGAACCCCTTTTAGCCCACAGATCAAGCCCTTGTTCTGCAGGTCATGTGCTGTCCCCAGGGCTTTGCCGCGCTGCGGCGGGGCCTGCAGGGCAGGGCGGAGGCCCTCAGACTGGGCGCTCAGGTTTCCTTCCTCAGACTGGACGGTTTCCCAGGGGTGGAGTGGGGGCGCGTCCCCCTTCTCAGATTGGGACTTAGAGGGGGGCCGAGTGTGCCTCTCCGCAGACCGGCAGCTCCTCAAGGTGCCAGGACCCATGCCTCCCTCCACCCAGCCTCTCCGCCCTCAGACTAGTGGGAGCAATGACAACTGGAGTGGGGGAGGGGAGCGGGTCTCCTTTCTTCTCGGACCAAGAGCGTTTGGCAAAGTCCTAGAAGCAGGAAGAATTGACAGAGGTCCCGTTTCATCCCCAGCTTTAGACCCAGAAAAAGCAGAACAATTTCTCCAGGAAAATAAAATCAGAAAAGAAAGCCCTCGGGATTGTGGGCATGTCATTGTGGTCCTCGGATTGTGGGTTCAAATGGGGACCTGTTTCCTAAAGCGGGGGGCCTAGGGGATGGTCTTGGCAGTTCCCATAGGGTCACGGTGCCCCCGTCTGCAGGCTCAGTCCTCATCCTCACTGGCATAGACACCGGCTTCCCAGCGTTCAGCCATCGCGTTCTTGTGGCGGGTCACCCGCGTGGCTTCCAGGACCTGCAAGAGGAGGTACAGAGTCCCCGTGAGAGTCCTACCCCCCCACCCCCGCCAACTCATAGCCTAGGCTTAGAACAGGGGCAAAGCAGGGCCACCCCCTCCTCTGTTTCGACCTTCAACTCCTACTAATAGCACCAAGGGATGTGCTAACCCGTCGGAGCTCCATGGCAGGGGAACTATCTGGGTCTGGCTTCGCAGGCTCAGCTCCAAGATGGCCCCAAATATGTCCCACAAACCCACTGAGGTAGCGGGCCTTCTCCACACTCTCAGATGAACCCCTCCCTCAAAGAAAACGCCCTTGCCTTGGGCCCAATCTGTTCCAAAACCTTCATCATTTGACAAAGAAGCTGCAAGTGCACCCATTTTACACAATCTATGCCCATGCAGGCATCACAAGCAGATCCAAGCAAAATCCACCGCGGGAAGACACTGCCAATCAAGGAGCTACCCAGTGACGTTTTCACATCCCAAAGAAAAGCTTTTGATGGCCCAGGTGCCATGGGGCAGGGGGCTCAGACAGGGGAGGAAAAGACAGTCCTGGCCCCCAGGAGCACACTCACCTCCGAGTTGACGTGGTCCAAGGGGTTGATGCCGGCATACTACAGGAAAGGAACATGCGTCAGCCCTGGCCTTCCGGCCCTGCCCCACCCCAGAGCCCACCTGGAACTCAATGCAAAGTCCACTCAGTCACCCCTTGAGGCAGGAGGGGAGGTGTTCCATGCCCACATGGTCCTCCTGAGTGCCCCTCGATGACCACAGATGCAGCCATCCACCATGCTGTTCCCCCCAGTGCAGCCTCAGGCTACCCCTTGCAGTTTTTTTTCTCTTTCTGTCAATTTCAGCATAATAAAGACAGTCACTATTGATGGAACCCATCCCATGGCCTGGCCCTGCTGTAAGGCTCGGAGATGGCTCATCTCATGGTAATTTCACAAAGGAGGAGACTGAGGATCAGAGAGGGGCAGGGACTTGTCCAACATCACACAGCAGCCAAGTGGCAGAGCTGAGAGTTGAACCCAGTTCACGGTGCCCAAACCCATGAGGCCAGGCTGTGAGTTCCAGGTGGGTGAGGCTGGAGTTGGTATTATTCTCCATGGTGTCCCCGGTCCTCCACTCAGGGAGGAGGTGGCCTCATAGTTACAAATGTGTGGCATGGATTCAGGCCTGGGTGCAAGTCCCAGCTCAGGAACTCAGGGGCCATGTGACCTTTGACAAGTCTCACTCCACCTTCCTGTAGGAGGTGTCAGGACTCAGCCAGGCCTCCAAGGGGGGTGGCCAGGGCTCTAGACTCACCCACTGCTCCTTCTTCTTTCTCTGCCCAGGAGCAGCCTCAGCAGGGGCCTCTGCCGTCCACACCAGGCCCGAGTGCAGGCGGATGGGGGTGAAGACGTGTGACTCGGACACTGAGTAGCTGCCTGTGGTGCCTGCGGGGTCAGGGGGAAGGACGGAGCATCAGGGAGCGTGCCATAGTCCCTCGAGGGCAGAACATCTATCAGACCAAGGCCTGGGAGGCACAGACTGTCTGGGCCATGTAAGGAGGCAGGTGAGTGAACAGACTTGCAGAGCAGAGAGCTAGCAGGAAAACTGATAGAATGACCAAAACAGCCTTAGCCGGTTTGGCTCAGTGGATGGAGTGTTGGCCTTCGAACTGAAGGGTCCCAGGTTCGATTCCGGTCAAGGACACATGCCCGGGTTGTAGGCTTGATCCCCAGGGGGAGCCTTGCAGAAGGCAGCCGACCCATGATTCACTCTCATAGTGGATGTTTCTATCTCTCTCTCCCTCTTCCTTCCTCTCTGAAATCAATAAAAAAATATATATATTAAAAAAAAGAAAAGAAAAGAAAAAGAATGACCAAAACAGCGAGTCAGAAAGAACTGGGTAGATGGATGGGTGAGATCTCATGCCAGGTGAAAACATTAAAAGTGACACAGGAGCCGAAACCGGTTTGGCTCAGTGGATAGAGCGTCGGCCTGCGGACTGAAAGGTCCCAGGTTCGATTCCGGTCAAGGGCATGTACCTGGGTTGCGGGCACATCCCCAGTGGGAGATGTGCAGGAGGCAGCTGGTCGATGTTTCTCTCTCATCGATGTTTCTAACTCTCTATCTCTCTCCCTTCCTCTCTGTAAAAAATCAATAAAATATATTTAAAAAAAATAAAAATAAAAATAAAAAATAAAAGTGACACAGGAGATCTTTCATAACAAAGAGGAATGATTGACCAAGAGGATGCAGCATCTGTAAACCTTTTATGCGCCTAATAACAAAACCTTCAAACCCATAAAGCAAACGCCACAGTGCGAAGTGGACATCTCTCTCCAAAATCTACCGTTTACGGGGAACATACAGGCAGAGAGACCAGCCAGTCCTCCAGACGTCCCTCCACGCTCAGTCCCTCTCGATACCCCCAACTCCACCTCCCCACCCTTCTCTGCTCCAGTCTCCGGGACCAGACCCAAGCAGCGGTTCCCCGCCCGGCCCTCCTCACCCGAAGCCCGGGAGGAGCTCCTGGAGTCGGGGTCACAGTCCAGCGGCGGGGAGAAGACCTCCGGGAAGAGGGCATTGCGTCGTTCCTCCGCCACCTCTTGCTCCCGTCTCAGGACACTCTCCACCTCCCGCTCCAGCAGCTCAGAGGACTGGGACCTTTGGAGCCTCAGAGGGGGGGCCCCAGCCACTTCCCAGCCCCAGGTTCGGGGGGGCTCGGCCTTCTGGGGCACGTCTGGGACCCTGAACCGCAGGGGACGCAGGCGGAAGTACTCCCATCGCACGACACCCCTGTTGGCTGGTGGGGGTGCCCCCGAGGGCTTCCAGGACTCCTGCTTTGTGCCTGAGGGTTTTCTAGAGGATTCCGAGAGATGCCTCTGAGACCCTGTGGCCTTTGCCACCGCCTTGGCCTCGTCTGCAGCGAGACCGCCAGGCTTGCCCCGGGCGTGGAAGGCTGGGAACCTTGGCTGGGGGGTCCCGGGGCTCAGGTACGGCTGGTAGGCGTCAGGGGGGATGCGGTTCACCTTCTTCAGCTCTGGAGTGGGGTCGGCCGCCCTGGTGTCTGGGGCCAGGCCAAGGATGGAGTCTGAGCTCAGTGCTCTCCTGAGTCCCGGCTGGGGGCCCCCGGAGAGGCAGCCGGGCTTGGACACCCAGCCGCCCTGCAGGCCCTCCCGCCGGTGGTCCTCCTCGCGCTGCGTCTCCTGGGCAATGTCACGCTGCACATAGAGCGAAGGGCGCCCCCTGTCCCGCCGAGGGGCCGCCGGCAGGCTCAGCTTGGTCAGCAGGGGCCGGGTGGGTATCTCCACCAACTCCTGGGGGCCCGCTGCCCCCCGCAGCCCCCTCTGCTCGCGCAGAGCTGCCTCGCGCTCCTGGGCCACTCGGATCTCCCGCTCGATGGGTGTCTCCTTGGGGGCCTCCGGTGACTCCGCTGGGGACCGGGCCCCGGGGTCTCCCATAGCCTGGACACCAGGCCCCGTGGGCCAACCGCGGACCCTCTTCTCTTCCATGACCACCCCCTTCACCTGGGGCTTGACCGAGACGGCATAGCCGTTGGCGAGGGGCGGTGTGTTCGGGGCCTGGGGGGCCTGGCTGATCCGGGGTGGGGCACACTCTGGGGCCACCCAGGCTGGCGGGGTCGGAGGGACCCTGGCATTTGCCTGCTCCAGGCTCAGGAACTGCTGCCTCGCTGCCAGGAAGTTGATCTGCTCCCTGTCGACCACGTTTTCCTCCAGGGGGACGAGCGGAGGTCGCCCGGGGGTCCTGGGGCCCCCGTTGTCAGGGGTGCCATGGAGCGTGGCCACCGTGCCGCTCTTCCTCACCGCTTGGCCCTGGATGACTGCCCAGCGCTCTCGCTCCAGGTCCGGTGGCCGCCTGAGCAGGGTGTCCCTGGTGTCCAGGTGGTAGGCCTTCATCACCTCATCCTCCTCGTCCTCCAGCTGCAGGGACGGCTGGCTGAGGAAGGTGCGCAGCCTGCAAGACGCCCCTGTCCTCAGCACGTCCGGCGGGGCCTGGCGGTCACCCGCCCACACTACAGTCTGGTCCTGGCCCCAGTTGCTGTCCGAGGGCTCCACATTCACCAGCTGGTATGTGTAACTGGTGTCCCCATTGAGAGCCAGGCCGGCCATGCCTGGTGAGTGGGGGATGCTGAAGATGGGGTATCTGGTCACTCGGTCCATGTTCTGGGGTTTCAGCCACCACAAGTTCTGGGGTGGAGACGCTCCCAGCTCCCTGAGGATGAGAAGGAAGCACACCATCAGGTAAGAGCACTTGGGGAGGGGCACAATGTCCAGTTCCTCCAAGGGCAAAGTCCTGCCCAAGAGGCCTCTGTGATTGGTTCAGAGATAGAGAAGTGACCCCGCCTGGCCAATCAGAGCACTCCCTCCCCCTGGCCTCTGTGATTGGTTCCTGGATGGACATAGGACTCAACCTGGTCAATGACATGAAATCCTGGCACTTGACTGTGGAAATTGTACCCTCTTCCTGTGAGGCTTGTTAGGTTGGGGGAATGAAACTGATCAATTCTGGGGGCCACTCATGCCCCCTTGTGGACACAGCCTGTTCAAGAGCAACCCCAACCCCAACACAACATCCTAAAAATGTTGTTTGAACTCCTGGATCCAGCCACACGTGAATCTCACCCCTGCACTGATCCAACGACTTGCCTCATGTATATCTGCCATTTGCAGGCACCCCTGCTCATCTCCCAGACACTGCACATCCAGTCTTGGGGATCCCCTGCTGCCCTAACCCTACTCCTCCCCTCTTTCACTCAGTTCACCTTGTCTGGACCCAAAGCCATCCCTGGGCAACCTCTCTGGGCCCCACCAGGCCCCCTGCCAGTACCTGTATCTACCTCTCTCCCAGGGCACACACATTCTGAAGTTCCCTCTGTGGTAGTTGTTGTTTTTAAAATATATATTTTATTGATTTCAGAGAGGAAGGGAGAAGGAGAGGGAGACATAGAAACATTAATGATGAGAATCATTGATCAGCTGCTTCCTGCAGAGCCCACAACCCAGGCATGTGCCCTAACCAGGAATCAAACCGCGACCTCCTGGTTCATAGGTCAATGCTCAACCACTGAGCCACGCCAGCCGGGCTGATTGTTGTTCTTTTGAAATATATATTTTATTGATTTCAGAGAGGAATGGAGAGGGAGAGACAGAAACATCCAAGATGAGAGAGAATCACCGATCGGCTGCCTCCTGCAAGTCCCCCACTGGGGATCGAGCCCACAACCCCGGCATATGCCCTTGACCGAAATCGAACCTGGGACCCTTCAGTTCGCAGGCCGAAGCTCTATCCACTGAGCCAAACCGGCCAGGGCAGTGATGGCGAACCCTTTGAGCTCGGCGTGTCAGCATTTTGGAAAACCCTAACTTAACTCTGGTGCCGTGTCACATATAGAAAATTTTTGATATTTGCAACCATAGTAAAACAAAGATTTATATTTTTGATATTTATTTTATATATTTAAATGCCATTTAACAAAGAAAAATCAACCAAAAAAATGAGTTCGTGTGTCATAGGTTCGCCATCACTGGGCTAGGGCTTGATTGTTGTTTTTAATTGATTTCAGAGAGAGAGAGAGAGAGAGAGAGAGAGAGAGAGAGAGAGAGATCGAGTTGTTGTTCTACTTATTTATGCATTCATTGGTTAATTCTTATTTGTGCCCTGACCAGGGATCAAAACACAACCTTGGTGTATAAGGATGATGCTCTAATCAACTGAGCTACCTGGCCAGGGCCCTGTGATTGTTTTTTTGTTTTTTAAAAAAATAAATTGGCATTTATTTTATTTTATTATTACTATTTTTTGTTAGTCCTCATCTGAGGATATTTTCCCCCCATTGATATTTAGAGAGAGTGGAAGGGAGGGGGAGAGACAGAAAGAGAGATACATCGATGTGAGAGAGACACATGGATTGGTTGCCTCCCACATGAGACAGGGATCGAGCTTGCAACTGAGGTACATGCCCTTGACCGGAATCGAACCCAGGACCCTTCAGTCCGCAGGCCGATGCTCTATCTGCTGAGCTAAGCCGGCCAGGGCTCTGTGATTGTTTTCATCTGACATTTACAGATGGTTCCAGCAGGCCTGCCTCTCGTGGAAGGATGTCCAGTGGGAAAACTGAGGCCCAGAGCGGGCAGCAACTGGCAGAGACTTCAGCTTCCCAGACGCCACATCCTGGTCTCTCCTGCACCTTGTCCTGTCCCAGACAACCCAACCCCACTGCACCTCAGCCACATAAAGCCAGGATAGGCTAGGAATGCCTGGACCTTATCCTGCTAGGCCAGGCCACACCCTAACCCAGTGCCCCAGGGAGGCCCAGAGCCGCCTCCCCCTCCCCCAGTGTCCAGGCGCTTTCTACAAGGTCACACACCGATCTCACATCTCTGTGGTTCCTGGGATCTCCATGGTTCAGTTCTCACTGCTTTCCCCAGGTGCTCGAGGCCTCCATCTGGCCTCAGCACAAATTCCCAAAGTCTGTAGGTGCCTCCACCTCAAATCTGAACCACCTCATCCCCCTGAAAGCTCCCTTTGCCTGAAGGTCCATCATTTCTGCACCTCCACAGCCTCCTTAGCAGCAGCCCACAGGACACCTCCTCCAGGCAGCCCCCTCAGATTGCCCCATTGTTGGCGCTATCACCTAAACCTGGCCCAGCACCTAATGTTAGGCATCACCTTTTTACAGCTGAGAAAAGGAAGACAGGCTGTTCCCAACTCCTCAAGCAGCTCTTGTTCCCTGCCCTGGACCCTGGTTCCACCAGAGCTGCTATGCACGTCCGCTACCTTTTTATACCAACTTGCTGGTAACGCTAAGTGTGGTTCTAAAAGGGAAAACACAGCATGTCCTTGAACTGGGGAAGTGTTACCAAGCAACATAAAATCGATCATGGGAACAGTGTTACAACTAACAAGGTTATCGATCATGCAATTTTTGTATCTATCAATTGTTGAAACTATAATTAGAAAAACAATGTTTAAAACAGCGGCTTGGACAGTAAATCCCAAGACACTGTCTGAGCCACTGTTCCAATGACGGAGCAGTCACCCACAGAGATTTTCTCTTTGGAAGTTATTAGGGGTAAACGTGTCTTTGAAAGGGGAATGAGTTTACTTAAGGCCTGTCTTCTCCCACCTCTTGGCCCAGGACCCTCTCTCTCAGGGCCCCGGTGGGCGAGCACCTCTCCTGCAGCCCAGCCAGAGTCCGGTATTCAGCAGGAATTTAATAATGGCTGGCTGACAGGGTGTGGTCTCTGCAAACAGTACTCACTCCAGGTTCTCAGGGTGTGGGGGTTGGGTTATTTTAGCTGCAGACCTGGCTGCCCCTCTGAGGCTCCCCTGTGGACCACAGCTTGTCCTCTGGGTCAGCTCTGTCCCCATGCCCTGGGGCTCCCTGGGAGGGACAGGTGTGGCAGGGGTGACTCAGAGTGTTTGCTGAGTGAATAGCTGGATGTTCGTTCACCAGGATTTATAACCCACAGGGCACATTCATTCTTGGAAAAGAGAGCTGGGTCTCTCCTCCAGGTGAGGGGAGGGTGGGGCACCCATCCTCCTAGGCCCACTTCTCCCAGGCGATTCACTGAGGACAACAAAGTGTGGGACTCAGTCTGGGTCTTGGGTTCAAGGCCCCAGGGCCCCTCTCACCTATGACCTTGGGCAAGTCTCAGCTCACCCCTCATCGTATTTGCTCCTCACAAGATCCTGTGATGAGGGGACCATTCTTGTCCCCAATTTGCAGCAGAGGGAACCAAGGCCCAGAGAGGAGAAGTGGCTCACCTCAGGCCACACAGGAGTGACAGGGAAACAGGTCCTGAAGTTCAAACCCTCACTCCCAGTGGGTCGCGCTCCTTCAGGAAGCCCTCCTAGATTGCTCCTTCCCAGCCCCACCTCCACACCCATGTCAATACAAAACCAAAACGGGGTTTATGGCCCCTGGGGCACACATTTGCTTGCTCATCACCGAAACTGGCCTCCTGCCATCAGGGCAAAGGCCTGCTGGAGAGGCTGTGACTCAGACAGGGAAGGTCACATAGCAGGAAGGGGCTCCTCTTCCATCACTCAAGGCTGCAGCCTCCCAGGCCCTGGCTGGGCAGAGCCTCCATCCCTTTGATACACAACTGAGTCTCTGTGTCTCCTGCTGGACAGAGCCTCTATGCCGACAGGAACACACTGCCCCCCCCCTCCTCCCCAGTGCCCCTCCCGCACCCCCCTCCCGGCCAAGCCCTGGACCCCGTGGAGTTGTTATATGCTGCGCCCCAAGCGAGGCTCTGGCTGGTGCTAAGTGCCTCCCCATCGGCCTCCAGGGTTCTCAGAACCCACAGGTGGAGGGGGACGGGGGCCTCTCTGGCCTCTGGCCATGGTGCCAAGCAGGCCCCTCTCTTGGAGGGTCAGGGCTCAAGGTTCTTAGATTTGAGGCCAGAAGCCCAGAGTGGAGATTGAGACCTTAGCAAGGCTCAGGGATGAGCTCTCTGCTCCCTGGGGCAGGGGAAGCAGGGGAGGCGGGGCGGGGGGGGGGGGGTGCAGGAAGGACACAGACCTCAATATTTCAGAGCAACGGGATTGAAGAACAATGGGAGAACCCCACCAGCCCCTGGGACCCCAGCTGGGTCCAGAGGGGTATGGGGTGAGAATGGAGTGCCTCTCCCCCTGCTTCCCCAGGGCCCCACCGGTGAGCGGATGATGCCAACTGACACAGGAATCCCCGTTCCAAAAACTGACCCACCCCATGCGGGACCCACCCCGCCGTCGCTTTGGGTGCATCCTGCCCCCACGCCCACCGTCTCACCTGCCAGCTCCAGGCCCCCAGCAGCCTCCCAGCCTCGGCTCCACTCTGGCGGCACCGCCCTCCCCTCAGGTTGCCAGGGGAAGGCCCCACCCAAGGGAGGCAGGTGCACTCCCTCCTCCCCGGCCCCACCCGGGATCAGGAAACAAAGGTCGGAGGAGGGAGAAAGCGGACACCCAGGCACCATGCCCACTGCACTCTGCCCCCAGCCCAGCCCCGGCCCCAGGGCCTCCAGCCCCCGGAGCTGGAATTCACCCGAAACCGCCCTCTAGCTGCCACCTGGCTTTCCCACACCCTCAGTGCCACGCAGAGAGGGGACATTGTGTCCAGGGCCACACAGCAGGTACGGGAACCAGCTGCCCATTTGTGGGGGTCTGAGTCCCATACATCCATGGTGCCACCTGGCTCCACCCACCTTTGGGGCTACTCCCCCAGAGTCCTTTTCTGGGACAAGCTCAGCTGGCCGGCGTCTGGAGGAGCCAGCGGGTTCAAATCCCGGCAGCCTCTCTGAGCCTGTTTCCTTCACATGAAACGGGCCTCACACAGCGGGGAGGATGCCCCGGGCCACTTGGATCTGATATAAAGAGCCAACTGGAGACCCAAAGTGGCAGAAATGGTGGTGGGTGGGCACGGCCCGGGTCCCACTGCCACACGGAGCACAGAGGCCCTAACTGGGCGGCGGGTCCTCCCAGGTGCTCAGCTGTCCCGCCCGATTCTTGGTTGAGGTGCAGAGCCTGGCCAGGGCGGCCAGGAAAGTCAGGGCACTGGGACCAGTGGCCAGTCTACGGGGCCGGGGACACAGGAGGTTGGGCAGGGTCCCTCTCAACCTCAGTCTCTACTTCCGTCAAGTGGGCCTGAGCCCCAAACCGGGCCGGCCTGCCTGGGATGAGGGTGTGAGGCAGGTCCAGACACAGGGCTCAGCCCAGAGGGACAGCGTGAGCGTTCCACATGGGCCAGTTCTGGCGAAACCGGGGGCGACAGCCTTGCTGTCTTCCCTCCGCACCACTCACTGCGCGTCCTCCTGTCTGTTCTGCAGCCATGGAAACTGGAGCCCAGCGGCTCCCAGGCCGAAGGGCCCAGTGCTGGTGGTGGAGCTGGGATTGGAACCTGCCCACCATCCTTACCGCCCTATTGGGGAAACTGAGGCCCCGAACAGCAGAGACTGTCACCCGGTGTGCTGGGAGCACTGTGGAGATAAGCACCCAATGTCCTGCTCCTAGACGGGGGGCCCACTCAGGGTCCAAAGCATTGAACAGGTGGGCAAACTGAGGCCCAGGGGCACAGCGACTTTCCCAGCCAGAGTGAGGTCAAATGGGGTTGCAGCCCCCATAAACGCGTCCTCCCCCATGGCCCCATCTATTTTTTTCAGGGGCCGGTTCTCTACAGAACGCGGGGGTGTCTGTGGGATCCTTTCAGTTTCTTGGGGTGCTGTGAGCCAGCAAGGGGCAGCCTCCCCGCCAAGGGATGAGAGGGGCAGGGCGGGTCTGGAATGGAGGCCTCCACGGGAAACAGAAAGCAAATCCTGCCACTGGCTGCTGTCCCTTTACCTCCAGGTCTTACCTGCCCAGGTGCTGCTCAGATGTGTTCAAGCGTAGGTGTGGCCTCCACCAATGTCCCCACCTCAGTACCAGGTGAGCTGGAGGAGTGCAGGGCCCCACGCAGCCTCCCTTTAAGGCCACCCAGGCGGGCCCCACCCACCCCCTGGCTGGCCACATCCTCCCGGCCCCAGAGAAATCAAGAACTCCAGGACCCAGGGCGTTCACGGGGTTTATTTGCTTCTCTGGGAAAGTCAGGAACATGGGCCTGTCACACATCGAAAGCAGAGGGGGCAGCAAGGGCACTTCAGCGCAGGCTCTCGGCTCCAGGACTTGGCGGCTTGAGGAGGGAGGGGGTCCATGCCACTGCTGGGGGCCGCCTCAGAGAGGGCCTCTCCTCCCACCCTCAAGGGGCAGAGCTGAGACAGGCCGGGCTGGTTTCAGGCAGCCCTTGCATGGCTCCTCGGAGGCAGTGGTGAGGGGGCTGCCTCAGCCTGGGCACCAGCAGTGGGGGCCCAGGGGAGGGGCCCAAGATGGGGCCTGGTCATCCTACAGCCTACACAGGAGAGAGTGCGTAAGCGTGGGCATGAATGTGCCTCTGAGGATGAGTGTGGCTGCAACCTGGGAGAGGTGTGTGCACACCTGGGTGTCCGCTACCCAGAGGCGAGTCCCTCACCCCTCACCCCTTCCAATGAGGTGGGGGGAGGCTCACACTGGGCTGGGTAGCCAATGGGGGTCTCCTGCTGCAACCAGGGGACGCTCCCTGCCCCAGGCTGTGGGCCCCTCCGCTGCCCAGAATGTGCCAAGCCTAGCAGAGCTGGCAGTCAGCCTGATCTCTGGGGTATGGTTAGGGAGACCCAGGACTCTGGCCCAAGTAGGCTGGAGAATGGGCTGGGGCAGCCCCCCAGGGTCCTCAAATTAGCACCAGGAGGAAGGAGGGCCCAGTGAGGGTGGGAGCTCAGGACAAGAAGTGGCTCGCATGGCCCTGCCCTGTACAGGGTGCAACTCGAAGACCCTCACCGGCCCCATCCAGAAGACAGCACAGGGGTCAGAGACTCCCCCAGGTTGGGTGTGCGTCCTCTGGGCTCCCCCTTCCCAGGCCCCATCGTGCACTGGTCACGCCCATGGAGAGCATCAAGGGAAGGGCACATTGGGCTGGGGTGCCAGAGGGGCCCCCGCTTTATTCTAAGAACCGGAGCCTGGCCTCCGACTGAGGCTCCCCCATGAGGCACAGCCTCACCCCAACTGCCCAAGATCCCGACACCAGTGCCTTTGCCGGGGAACCCCACTTCCAGGGGCTGAGTGGGGACAGAAAAGGCGCCCAGGACCCCTGGCTCTCCACCCCTCTCTGCGATGTCCCCTCGGAGACCTCACCGGAGGCAGCAGAAAGGCACAGGCAGGGGGCCCGGAGGGTAGCGGGCTTGCCTGGGGCGGCACAGAGGCCTGGGTCCCACCAGCCAGGAACGCTGTGGGCAAAAGCCCGTCTGTGGAGCTGCCGTGACACGTGGGGGACCCTCATTTTGGGAGAAGTGGGTCTGTCCGTGTCTCTGTCCTACCAGGCACACAGCTCATTGGTTTCGGGTGTGTCGGGGTGGGAATGGGCACGGGACCCCTGACCCTCTCTTTCCTGTTCTCAGAAGGAAGATGTGACAACATAGCATGTCCTGGGGTCCATGACTGTGGGTGGAGGGTGGGCAGGCCCCGGGGCCGGGCTGTGGGTCTCTGTGGTGTGGAGGGTGGGGCAGGGGTCTGGGGCCTGCGGCTCACATGATGGAGCAGCATTTACAACGCTGCTTCTTCATGTCAAGGTCCTGGGTGTCGCTGGCAGGGGCCTCGGGCCCCACCTGGTTCTCCTCCCTGGAGCCTGAAGTGGTCGGGGGCTCGGCCGCACTGCCGTTGGGTGGGGCGGCCTCCTTGGGCTCGGCCTCGTCCTCGATGACCACCAGCTCCGCCGTGATGGTGTCCTGCAGCCCCAGCACTTTCTGGCTTTCTGCCTCATCCTCCACATTCTGGTACCCCATGAAGATCATGGTGACCGGGGGCTCCTGGCCAGGCTGGATGCCCGGTGGGCCGGACGTGGCCTCGCCAGGCTGCGCCTGGACTCCGGTGATCTCCCGCCTGGAGGGTGTGGTGGTCCGGACGGCCTCCTCCGACGCTTCCCCGGTCTCTGCTGCCCCAGCCACGGGCCCTGCCTCACTCAGCGTGACTTCATCTGCCTTGTGGATGAGATCGTCCACCTCGGAGGAGCTCAGTGGCTGGATCCCGTTCACCGCGGTGCCGTCCACGGCATGGACCACTGGCGGGGTGAAGAGAGGGAGTGAGACCCGAGACCGGAGGGAAGGCCTGGCAGGTCTGCGAGCCACACTCCAGGCTAAAGAGAAAATCATAGCCTGGCCGGTGTGGCTCAGTGGTTGGGCATTGACCTCTGAACCAGGAGGTCACGGTCCGATTCCTGTCAGGGCACATGCCCAAGTTGCAGGCTCGATCTCCAGTAGGGGGCGTGCAGGAGGCAGCTGATCAATGATTCTCTCTCATCACTGATGTTTCTATCTCTCTCTCCCTCTCCCGTCCTCTCTGAAATCATAAAAATATATATTTTTAAAAGAGAGAAAACCATAAACCAAATTAGACGGACATCTAAGCTCCCTGTTGGGATCTGTGGGCACAGCCACACTGGAGTACACAGGAAAATTCCTGGGCACAAAAGCACTTGTTATAAACAAAGAAAGACTGGAATTCAATGACTTGGGATGTTATTGTCTTGCATTTTATTTTATTTTTTTAAATATATTTTATTGACTTTTTTCAGACAGGAAGGGAGAGGGATAGAGAGTTAGAAACATCGATGAGAGAGAAACATCGATCAACTGCCTCCTGCACACCCCCCACTGGGGATGCGCCTGCAACCAAGGTACATGCCCTTGACCGGAATCGAACCTGGGACCCTTGAGTCCGCAGGCCGACGCTCTATCCACTGAGCCACACCGGTCAGGGCTGTCTTGCATTTTAAACTATTTGTGCTTCTGCTTTTTGTTTTGTTTTGTTTTCTGTTGAAAAGACGGTAGAAACAGAAGTTCAGAGAAGGGAAGTAATTAGCAGGAGGCTACAGAGCTGTTTAGGTGGACCCTGACCCCGGTCCAGGTCTGTTTCCTGGCCCTGAGGAGTTGCAGGGATCCTTTCTTCCTTCCTCTGGTTTATGTGGTTGATCCTGAATTAATTTTAGTTCATTCACCCAGTCTTTCTTGTTTTCCTGTAAATGCCCAAAGGCTATATACCTCTCCTCTGAGTTCAGCTTTGGCTGCAGCCCATGTATTAAATTACTTTGTCCTTTTTCAAGTTTAAATATCTTTATAACTTCCATTTTGACTGATTGTCTCTCTAAGCCACGATTTATTACAAAAGATATTATAAACATTGGGGAGTGAGGGACTGTGATCTGGGGATACAGAGCATAAGATATTACTGACACCTTTGCAGTTCAGAACATGGCCACTTTCTGAAAATGCTTTACCTGTGTTTGACAAGAACATTCATTCTCCATGGGGCAGAGTTTTATTCCTGCAGTCAATCTTTCTCCCCTAACGCCTCGTAATCAATCTGTTAAAAGCATTTTCAAAATCTCTCCAACCGTCCTGCTCCGTGTCTCTCTGATCTGTCGCTTTCTGAACTGTGTTGCAGTCTCTAAGGATGGGGTTTCAGCACCAAGAGGAGTCTCAGCCACAGTTTGAAGCCAGCCCCAGATCACAGCCCTAGAAGCACAGCTGCCTGGCTGCCTGGGGAAGAGGGAGGGGCTTACAGAGCCTGAGGACTCACTCCTCCCTGGCCAAGGGTCAGGGCTCAGATTTCTGGCTTCTGGCCAGAAGGAAAGTGCTCTCAACTTTCAGTTTCCAGGGGGGAGGGGGGGGGTCCACGCTTCAAGACCTCAAAGTGACTTTGAGCTGGAGGCCCAGAGGATGGGTATGGCCAGGTAATACAGAATCAAGCTGAGTATTTCCCAATGGCCATTGCCCCAAGATAGGAATCTGAGCCCTCAGCTGCCATGGAAGTGGATCACCTTCCCATTGCTAAGCAACCAGAGTCCAGTCTGGAGGGTCCTGACTCCCCAGGGGCAGGGCTGGGCTGGGCAGAGGGGCCATGGTGAGGACCTTTTGCCAGCACAGAAATCTCTGCCACTCAGCCTCATGCGGTCATTTCTGCCAAGACCACACAGCTGATGAGAACTGGGCCAGAATCCTACCTGGGTCTATGCTCTAAAGCAGTGGTCGCCAACCTTTCGGACCTCACGGACCACCGGGTGGCGACCGCTGCTAAAGCACAGCAGAGCTGGGCTATAGCAGGACCCCCATAATAGCATTCTGGGCACCCCAGAGACTCAAATAACAACTAAGAACATGAGGCTTTGGAAATCAAAACCACAGTGGAATGTCACTTCACATCCAACAGGATGGCTATACTAACAAAGAAAAAACCCCACATTAACATGTCAAGGATGCGGAGAAATTGGACCCCTCATGCACTGCTGGTGGGAAAATAACATGGTACAGCCACCGTGGAAAACACCCCGGCAATTCCTCATGCGGTTAAAGAGTCCCCATATGACCCAGCAATTCCACTCCTAGGTATTTGCCCAAGAAAAATGGAACATTCACTCACACAAACTTATAAAGCCATAGGGTGGAAACAACCTAAATGCCCATCAACAGATGGCGGGATAAACATAATGTGGTCCATGCAAACAACGGAATACAATCCAGTCATAAGATGTGAACATGGATGGACCCTAAAAACATGACGCTCGGTAAGAGAAGCCACGCAGCGTGCGATCCCACTTGTGTGAAATGTCCCGGACAGGAAGCGAGTCAGTGTCGTTAAGGGCTGGGGGGGGAGGGGGAGATGATGGGGTTTTATTTGGGGAACAAAAATGTTCTGGAAGTAGCTAGTGAGGGTGTACCATGTGGTGAACACACCCAAACCCACAGAATTGTGCACGGAGCACCTTCTATCATTTCC